TCTATTCCTGTTTTAGTTTGATCGATTTTATCAGGAGTAGGTTCAGGAGGGATTTTTGGATTGGGTTGTTTTTTATCAGGTTTATCGGGGCCAGTAGGGGATTTATTTTCATCCGGATTACTTGGAGTTTTTGGAGTAGGTTTAGGATTTTCTGGTTCATTCGGTTCAGTAGTTTCCGGAATTTCTGATTCATCAATTATCTCTTCCTCCGGACATTCCCCTAATTCCTTGATTATTTCTTCACGGATTTGCATTAAAATCTCTCCTAACAAATTTAGGCCCTCTTCACCACCACCACCATCTCCCCAATACCTGTCATTAGAAGTATGCTCCACCAATTTTTTCCTTCCTGTTTTTCATAACCTTTCTTTCAAATCTGGGTTCTCAAATTTTTTCCGCACTACTCATTTCATAGCCCGGATTTTGATTTCACCATGCCAGTCTTTTCGGCGAATAAAATCCTTGTCGTCTTGGTTAGCAAAATCGCGAGCCACTTTTGGGTCGGGGCTTTTTAAAATTGACCTTATGGCATCCAAGTATCAGTTAATCTTTTCCTTTTTCTTTTGGTCATCATTTAGTTTATCATAAATAGAACTAGCGATGGAATCGTTAGAAGCTTCAGCAATAATACCAGCAAGATCACCGCTTATTTCATTATATTTTTTATTATCAACACCTATTGGATTTCCATAAGGAGGAACCCAATTATTCCACAAAGTAAATTTTAGGGCTTGAAAAAGATGCTCGGAAGTATTTCATTTAATCTCTTTAGAACTATCGATCCTAAATTTAATTTTATATCCTATTCCATAATTTCCGTCCTCTCTATACTTTTTAAGAAACACGTTTTTTTTTCAATGGTTAGGAAGAATAATATTACTAGAACGAGTAGTACCTATAAAATAGCAAACTTCGTCGCTGATTTTTCCACTTTCATCAAAGGGACAAAATTTTTCTTCCTGTCCTCATTCTTGTAACGGCAATTTAGCAAATATTGGATACTTAGGTTGGCCGACTACTCCTCCACCTTCTTTCTTTCGGCTATCCTCATTATAATAAAAATTAGTCAGCCAGTAATAAGGCTTTTTTTTATCATAAAATCAGATTTGGTTTTCGGGTTGTCCAGGGTATCTCCGGTATTCTTTTTTATCAGTATCAGTTAGGTTCATAATGAATTTATTTAGACAAGTCTTTTTACACTTTATCTATTATTATATCTATATTTAATATGTTTAGTTTTAGGGAGAAAGTTTTTAACTACCTTTAAAGTAAAATACAAAGATTGCAGACAAAAAAATAAACAAAGCAACAAAAATGAAGATAGAGATGAACATTATTCAGAGTTTTTTTTCTTTCGTTGCTTCTAACTTGGCACACCGGACACAAAATACTCCACTTCTTCCTCCTTCACCTCCTCAATATCCAGCCCGTCAATAAATTCCACTACCTCCCCTATTAACTTCTTCTCCTGCTGGGATTTTCTTATAACATTTACTGCACAACATACGCTCTTTTGAAATACTCGGAATTATCTAATAAATTAAATTCATAAAGGGTTTGAAAAATACTTCATTTTTCTAGGAAGTAGTTGAATCCGAATCTTTATTATTGATTAATTCAATAACCTTTTCTTCAATTTCCTGATATAAATCTGGATTTTCGATTAAATAATCAATCGCATTCTCTTTTCCATTACCTAGTTTTTTTTCCTTATAACTATATCAATTGCCACTTTTTTGAAGAATTTCTAATTCTGTGGCTAAATCAACAATTTCTCTTTCTTTTTGAATACCTCCTTCAAACATTATTTCGATTATCTTTCACTTTTCTTTACTGTCTTTGAGAGAGGGGTGATGAGAAGAAATTAGCCTTCTTTTCTCGACTCGAACTCCAATTTTAAACCCAATGTATTTTTCGTCCTTTTCAATTTTTTCTCTTTTGTTTATTAATTCTATTCTTAAACTAGAATAGTAAGTCAAGGCTACTCCGCCAGTAGTAGTTTTTGGATTACCCATAAAAAAACCGGTCGATATTTTGTTTCGAGTTTGATTAATAAAAATTATAGTTGTCTCCCGGTTGGTCATTTCATTAACAATTTGATTTAAACCATTATTTAGCATTCTAGCATGAGCTCCAATAGGAGGTCTTTCCCAGTTTCCTAATAATTCAGTTGGTATCAGGGGTGCTATCGAGTCGACCACGATTAGACCAGCTTCCCCGCGAATGAAATCAATTATCAATTTAAAGGCTTGTTCGCCGTATTTAGGATGAAGAACCAATAAATTGTCAATATCTACTCCAATATTTTGGGCATGTCTAGCATTTAAGGCATTTTCAACATCAAGTCAAACTGCTCTTTTTCCTAGTTTTTGGCATTCTCGAACGGCATGGAGAGCGAGAGTGGTTTTTCCGCTTGAATTTTCTCCAAAAATTTCAACTATTTTCCCCAGCGGGTATCCCCCGGCTGTTTCACGGTCTAAAATAAAACTTCCAGTGGATAAGGTAGGTTGGTCTTTAAATTTGCTTCTTCCCAAAACATAAGCAGTTCCTTCGCCGTGTTCTTTATTAATTTTCTCAACAATTTCTTGGTTTTCTCAAGAAGAACTAAATTCTTTTTCTTTTTTTTGCGACATACTAAATTTTTCTAAATTAAAACTGATTTTTTAATTGGACTCGAGGGATTAGGACTGGTTTTTTTTTTTTTTTTTGCTCTAATCACTAGGTGGACAAGGACTATAAAGGTAATTACTGAAAAGGTTAAGAGAAGGGTCATTTTTCAAGGGAAACCGGAAGGATTAGTCGTGTTTTGCTTTTGTGAATTTGTTTCTAACTGTTTCAATAAGTCTCGGGCTTGGTCTTTATAGACTTGACAATAAATATTGTTACTTTCAATGAACCTATTTATTTCTGTTTTTAACTGACTAATTTCAGTTTTATTGTCATTTTTTAAAACTGTTTCAACTCGACTTCTTAAATTAGTTATTTTTTTAGTGGCTCCTTGTTGTCCTAGTTTTTGGTTGATTTCATTCTCTCTTTCGACTAATTTTTCGGGATCGATTTCGTTTTTAAACTCAGTAATAGAAGTTTGGGTTTCGGCATCTAACTCTTCTAAGGTTAGTTCATGTTTAACCATTTTGTTAGGCAGAGACGCTAGAAAATTATCTCGATATTCGGTCGGGTTGGCACGGGCTACTTCCTCCTTATTTTTTTTGATTTCCTCTTTCTTTTCCTCGTAGGCCTCCTCTCCCTCGTTTTTGTCTAAGTCGTCCAATGCTTCTTTTTTATCATGAATGGTAGCATTCGGGTCTTGGGCTTTTTTTAGGTTATCAGTTACTTTTTCAGAAGTTTTTTTAGCTTTTTTTCGGGCTTCTATATGGGCTAGTACACTTGATTTAAGTGCTTCAATCTTTTCCGGAGTATCAGCGGAGTTGATTTGTTTTTCTCAATCTTGATATTCGGAGTTGAGGTCAGAATTAGTGAGTTGAGGTTTGGGGTTAACTAGGGCAGAGTTGATATCCGCAATAGCAGCAGTTCGGAGAGCCGCTAAATCAGGAGCAGAGTCCTCTTCGGAGGTGGTAGTTTCTGGGGTTTCTCTTTCAGACTTCTTTTTAATCTGGTCTATATTTTTTTTAATTCATTTTTCTAATTGAGAAAAAGCTAATATATCCGTGCTTAAATAAAAATCGCTAATTTCCGCCTCGGGCAATTTCCCAATTTCTTCCTTGAAACTATTTAAGTCTACTTGGTTATTGGTAAGTATAGATTTAAATCTAAAACTATTACCATCAGAATTCAAATCAGCCAAAAATTTCTCGGGGGCGGTTAAATTATCCTCCCCGCTGGTTCCTGCTGTTCTACTGCCAGTTTGTTCTGGATTTCCGTTTGTTTCCATCTCTTGTGTATCTCCGGTTTGTCCTGTTTCTCCTCTCTTTGTAGGTGTTTCCCCTACTTTGCTAAATACACTTATTCTCAAAGTTTTATAAAACATTAAAACCTCTTCCCAATCAATTCCCTCGACGGCACAGTACTTTTTGTAACCAAAATCAAACTCTCTTCATTTATTATATGCTTCTTGTTTATTTGGAAATCTAATTTCAATTTTCTCGATAGGAGGAAAAACCCACTTTTCCTCTTCTCCTGATATTTCCATTATCCCTCCTATCCCTTCGAAAACAAGTTCATTAGAAGTAGGGACATAGCAAGAATTATAACCAAAGTAAATTTTTCCATTCTTTTTTGTTAGTTTATCAATGACAGCATCATTTCCGAATGAAAGGGCATTATGAATTTTTCGGTCCGAGGTTCATTGTTCGACTTCTATTTGTTCTTCTGGAACAGAAATAATATAAAAGTCTCCCCCCCTAAACTTTTTAATATCTTGCTCCTTTTCTTCCCCAATTTTTATATAGTCAAAATAATAACTCTTACCATCATCATAAATAATTTTGTCAACTATGTAAACATTCTTGCCCCCTCTAGAGTCTTTCTTGGGGTACTTCCACCCTTCACTTCGAACAATAAAATTTATTTTCATAGCGTCTTATAATATTAATTTATCTTTTATAAGTTATTATTTATGTATTCTAATATTCTAATATTTTTTTCACACTTTCATCCACAGATAAGTTGGTGGTGTCTAACTCTCAACTATCAGCCGTTTTTTTTAATGGTGAGTTGATTCGCTTTTCATCTCGAACTATTTTTGTCTGGTCTGAGTTTTCCGGATATTGGCTCTTTCGTCTTTGGGCTCTTTACTCTAAACAAGACTTTTTTTTAAGTCTTTTTAGCAGACAAAAAAAGGAAAAAAAATCACCCTAAAAACAGCCCTATAATCAGGCCAACACCTAAAAAAGCAAAGTTAATCATAGAAAAAGTCTGATTGTCGTTAGTTGATGTCAATTTACCTTTACCCTGAATTTCTTCTCTGAGTTTAAAGCATTCTTCACATATTAGCATTCCAGGATGATGATGCTGGCAAAAAGAACAAAAATAAGGAGATTTTTTGTAATAACAAATACAGCCTTCTTTTTCCTCCTCTTCTAAAAAACACCACGGACATTTATCACCGTCAAAAAGAGCACCCGCTGTTGTTTTACCACACTTGGAACATTTAAAAGAAGTAGGAACATTATCCACATGCTTAACTATTCCTAATCTCCTAACTTTGCCACAGTCAGGGCAAGTCTTTCCCTGACATTTCTCATAAACATCTTTGAAAACATTGACTATTCCTATAAACTTCTTTTCACAGATACTGCACCAAAAAGCCATCTTTTTAACTAATCCGGCATGGTTTATTATCGGGTTTTGGCAAACTATGAGGGAAAAGTTTTTGTGTCGGACAAGCACATATAATATCTTTTGGTTGTTTTAAAACTGTAAATAAATTACTTATATGTCTATTTATTGTTTCTCCATTCTCCACTGCTAATTCAAATTTTCTAATGTCTTCTCTTAAAGTTTGCTTTACTCATTCTTCCAATTCTTTATATCGTTCAAAACCCTTAGAAGTAAGTTTAACAACCTCATACTCACCATATTCCAATTTTCGCTGCTCTTTCTTTAAATCGCTCAGACTACCACTTATTTTTCATCTACTAATATAATCTCCGTCTTTCTTCAAAAAAAATTCACCTGGCAAAGAATATTCTATCGAAAAATCTTCCTCTGAACTACTGGAAGCCCGATACATTGGTCCACAAACTTTCGGTCTACTTATATCACTATAACTATCAGTCTCCAAATCATAACTATCTCTTACCTCACTATCTAAATACTGTATTTCTTCCACTGGAGGAATTATGAATTTCTCTTTTGTCATTTATTTACATTAATATTTTATTTAATGGCAACATAACTACAGGTTTTAATTCAGTATCTAAAACACCTTCAAAATTATTGAATGACTTATCAGAAATCAAGCGAGTTAACAAGTCCGACCTTAAACACTTTTTAACTTTAGACCATACCTCTTTTACAGTCCTTTCAGTTAGTTGTAAACATATCCAAAGCACCGATAGAATTTCAGTAACTTTATCCAAGAATTCGGCTCGCTCTTTTTATTTAGGTAAACCAAAAAACCCCTCTCAACAGTCCACTTTTTCTAACCCCCCTCTTAAAATTGATGACTGTTTAAAAGATGCTCAGAACTGTGTTTATTTTCAATTCTTTAACTCCAAAGAAAAGAAACTCTACACTAGATTTAAAGATAAAGTGGAAGAAAACTTCGAAGGAACCCAAGGTAATCAACCAGTTTTATTCTTAACTTTAACTTTTAATACTACCCATGATAATTACTCTGCTTTTACTACTAACTGAGATACTCAGGATAACTGTTGAGAGCCTATCGGTAAAAAAAATAACTGATTAAAAGACTGAGCAGTTAATTTTGATAATCAGGCGGAACCTTTTAAAGTTCTAATCCCCAAAATTCCGCAAGAACAGGCTAGTAATTTCATTTTGGCTAATCAATACCTAACTAAATTCTTGCGTAATGTTCGTTTAAAATGAAAACCTTCTCACTGAAAGTGAACCGTAGTTGCTGAATTACAAAAAGCTAAAGATAACCGCCCTCCTACTTGGCACTTCCATTTTTTATCTACTCCCATAGTGCCTTATTCTCATAAATGCACCTTAGATAAAAATTTTACTTCTTGCTGAAATTGCCGAACTTATATTTCGGAACTCTGACCTTATGGCAGAGTTGAATCCCGTTCACCCAGTTATAAAACCATTTCTAACTATCTGGCTAAGTATTTAGCCAAAAGTTTCCATCTTCGCTCTCTTTATAAAGAGCATGGTTTTCAAACTCATAATAAAGCCTATCATTTTTTTAAAAACTTATATGATTACGAAAAAAAGCCGGCTTTACTAGTTACCGGAAAAATTACCGGTAAAACCAAACACAAACTAGATGCGATAACCGGATTACACTTACCTAAAAATCAAAAAATTTTTCGCCATTATGATTACACTACTTCACAAACTTCTTACTTTTATAAAACTAATGAGCAACTGGTCGGCACCGCCTCTAAACCAACCCTCATTAAAAAACACTACCGTTTAGGAACTCGTTCTCTAAATCCCCTTTCTTTACTCTCCCTCTTTTCTAAACACCCTAAGAAAGAACTTTATTCAGCCCTTAAACCTAAACAGTCACTAAATAAAGACTTCCAAACTTTCTTAATTACTAGACTACTACTCCTTTGTAAAAAAGCGGAATTCTTACATACTCCTTTAGAGCAGGAACAAGTAATTAAAGAAGCAGAGCAGTGTAGCCAATCTGTTCAGCACCATTTTCAAACTAAACCAGTTCTTCACTTTACCTTTACTCCCTCAACTGCCCCTCTAATTAGAACCTTCATAGATAAATTAGA